AAAGGGGCCTTATTAAGGGGGTTCTGACAACTCCTCTACCCCATTGTGGTCACAGTTGACAGTAAGGGGGAATGACCCAAGGTTTAGGGAATAGGGTTTAGGATTGGCATATAGGCTTTCGGGTGGATTCTACAGACTAGGAAAGGGATCCGTTCCTCCGATTCTCATTCACCACCACTAACTTGCAGCAAGGGGGGAGTTTGTGTCATGCTGCACTTGCTTTGTTCGTTTCAGGCCCTCCTTCGAATTCTTGCGGACCACATGCCAGTTCGTGCACTTGTAGGATCATGACAGCCAGCAATATCTTGGGTGTTCATTGTGGCCTTGATGCTAGTTTCAAACCATCAGACTACGTAATAGCAGTAATCATCAAGATGTGACCTTGCTCGAGATAGCGTGTCGGGGGTGGAGGATTTTGGGGGGCTGGCCATGTTTCACCTGCAATTCTTGTGGTGATGTCTGCAGAGGTATGCCCCATGGATGTGTTGCTAACTGTGAGAAAGCTTTTCCAGGAGGTAGGATGGGCAGAGTCTCAGGGCGACCAACGGTTCCAAACTACTTCAGCTGGAAGATTCGCGAAAGGAATGGATGTGGTTGTTAGCTTCCCGGCTGCCTATGGCGATGCGTGGGGAGAGCTTGTCCGGATTTCAGAGCTCCTGGGTCCTGCAGGTTTTGCAGCTACTGGCCACTGGTTCCCGGAGGACGCTGAGGGCTATGGAATACATGACTATGACGCAGCTGGGAAATGTCATTGCCACCATCTCTATGGAAAGCAGCAGGACTGGGGATGCCGATGGTACACCATGACGCAGAACAAAATTCGGCTGGCACACCAGAAGGGCTGCAATCTTATCTTCGTAACAAAGATTGACGGCTCCATTGGAGCAACGCAGAGACAGGAGTCCTCATTCTTAGCAAGTCAGGGGATGAGAGTCCGCATCGTGGCCATGGACGAGTTCGCTGTAGAGATGACCGCCAAGCAGTATGGACTTGCAGATGATGCTCGTCAGATTTTCGACATGAACCCTAGTGACAAGATCGACTTTCTCGGCTCTTCGGACAAGGGCTTCGAGCTAGCAAATGTTGCAATCGTGAGTTATCCAGGCGTGCATGGGCATGGATGGAACCAACTGACAAAAGGTTCCCTCAAAGAGGGAAGCATGATTGCCACAAGTTGCGTGTTTCTGCCTACAGAAGCATCTCCAGGCTATGGAGAGCATGCTGCGCACCAAGAGTCAGGTCACTGGGTTGCTGTTAAGGGACTTAATTTAAGTTACCAGAATGGGTATATATAGTAAATATTAGGGTTTCCCCAATATAGTAGCTTAATTTAAGTTCCTTAAATCCCTATATTCCCCCCAGTTTCCATTTCATTTTCCATTTTCTTTTCCATTTGATTCTCCATTATAGGGGGCTTAATGTAAGTTCTTTAACAGCAACCCAGGTCAAGGATTCTTCCTTCACCGCGATGGGTGTCACTGCGACCATCTTTATCCCTATCCGCAGTATAGGACCAGGCCAAAGTGGGGCTGCCGCTGGTTCGAGATGTGGAGACTTGCCCTAAGGCTCCATGTAGGTACTATTTATAGGGTTTAGGGCCCAATGTAGGTATTATTTATATAGTTAGAGCCCCAGGGTTGTGCGGTAAGTGACAGTCATGCTTTTGTCCGGTTGTGAAGCAACTGCCAACTGAAAATGCAAATCAATTCCGGCAATCGCTTTGCGCGTTATTCAACTGGTGGGTTTCTTGTCCCAGGGACTGAAAGCACGCTACAGATTTGAACCTTCCCACTTCTAGCCCATCTAAGGATGGACAGAACCCGTGTGGCTCATCACCATTGCTGCCTCATCGTTGTGACCAAGCAAGATGGTAGCCTTGGCAAGTCGCAAGAGGGGGAGGCTGAACCCTAAACCATAAACCTTAAACCGAGCCCAAATCCCTGAACCCTAAACCCCTAAACCCTAAAACCCTAAACCCTAAACAAAATGGGGGAGCATTTCAACTCACCAGTGTTTCAGTTTCAGTTTAGGGTTTAGAAAATGGGTTTAGGGTTCAGGGTTTCGGGTGTTGGTTGTAGGTGAGTGGATACCTGCCCAAGCCCCGGATGCTTAGATTCATCCAGGGTTTTGGGGGTTTCAGCGTTACTGCTTTATAGTCATTTCCCCAACCTTAAACCCCTAAACCCCT